ACATTTTGATCAATAGGAACTTACATTTGTGATCATCAGTGAACACATTTTCCAGTATAATCTCATAAAAGCTAATTCCTTTATTAAACTCGGTGACATTCAGGGAATTATTAGATGCAAGATCAAATTTTCCAATCTCTAAGAATCGACCGTTTTGAGCTAAACATCGAACAGACGCGATTAACTTTTCTTCCGCCAATGAATTTAGCACAATATCGACGCCGCGCCCTTTCGTTTGGCGTATAACCATGTGTTCAAAACTTGTATCTCGAGAATTTCCAATATGATCATCCGGAATGATCGGAAACATTTTCTTAAGAAAGCTCCGTTTGTCACTTGTGCCGACGGTAGTAAACACCTCGCATCCTTCTTTAAGAGCGAGATGAATAGCTGCTTGTCCAATACCTCCAGTACCAGAATGTATAAGTATTTTATCGCCCTTTTTCATTTTTCCATAAATGTATAAGGATAAATAAACCGTGCTGTAAACACACGGGACTGATGCCGCTTCTTCAAATGTCCACACGTCGGGTACCTTCCAACAAAGACTTTTATCCTTCGTAATGACGTTTGCTATGCAACTAGAAAGTGTAACTTTTATTTAGTGTCCTTATTACACAGCACAATAATTTCTTGTAGCATTACTTACTCAGTGTCACGAATTCCCATTATACGTTGTCCGTTAGCATCGAAACCCACGAATTCCATTCCAAGAGGAACATACTGAAACAATCGTCCTTTTAAACTCGTATTTGGAATTGTCAATTTACCAGTGGCGAGCATTATATCTCTAAAATTCAAAGATGAGTAGACAACGTGCACTAAATCCTCACGACAAGACACAACAGATAAATTATTTTCTACCCAATAGAATGTACTTAAATTTCCTCGAACCTGTGAAGAAATAAAATTTTGGTATTATGATACGACGTATATAGAATAGAATTTTAAAAGGCTTCGTGACAGCATTCGATCTTCCATTTGCCAAGTAGAATTTTGCATTTAAAAGACAAACAAGAGATAATATTATAACAATAATGGACAGTACTTTAAAAAAGTTTGTATTTACCCTTTGACAGACATGAGCGGTAGGTACAGGTACGGCTTCGGGTCGCGGCAATTTTAAATGTCTGTACGATCCCCAAGTTTTATTAGATCGCAACACATTAATGGTCATATCTTTCTGTAATTGTTCTTGATAGAAGGGGTCTTGAAGAGAGAATTTAGGTGCCTGTTCATCTTGAAGGAGCACACCCCTAACAAATTCGCCACATGGCTCTTTTCTCAAGCAGTTAATAAAACCCAATAAACCGCACTCAAAATTTTTCTCTCCCACAATTATAATTCTACTATTTTTGTTAAGCTTGTTCTCATCGCTCAAAAGCGACTTTAGATTCTCCAGCCAATTAAAGTTATCATTACTTATGTAAACAACAGTCCTTTCTCTTATCGATACTTTTTTTTTTAGAAGCACAATTAGTTCTTTATCAGTACGTTTTTCGAGTATAACGTTTAATTCGTACTGCTCCAAATGTTTTTTATAATCAGTTAAGTCGCACTTCTCACGCGTCAACAGATAACCACCCTTTCCTAAAAATGGCAACAGTCGCTGTAACGATGTATGTTGTTTGGTCAAAAGATTGAATCCAGCAATAATTAAAGTTTTGTCATCTAAAGATGATTTTTCAAAATTTTTGATTGAGAAGTTTTGCGGTAAGTCTTCTGGCTTGAAACGATTTGATGATGTTAATAGAGTGACATTCACTTGTATCAGTGGTATATCACGAAATGCTTCGAGTAGCAACGAAGATGAAAGATATTCTAATTCAACATCATCGACATCTTCTACTAGTTCAGCGGCTTGCACTTTTATAATTTGATGATCTTCCAGTACGAGTTGAGCAGATAACCGAATTGCTTCGTTCAAGGAAATATTAGCGCGATCACAGTGAGCTACAAACGTATGTTTCTCAATAACAGCATCTTGAGCTAATTGCCGACGAGAGATTTGAGTAGCTTTCAGACCTCGAATCTCTACACCACCAGCTTTTATCGTGTCTATCTCTTTGTACACTTGTACCTGTAATACTGTAAGACAAGTAAAATTATACGCCTCATATTATGGAGATCTTTTACATATTATTTATTAATTGAACGATGAACTATTAATAATGAAAGACAATTACGATTTTCCATGTCTGTTGTAACTTTTGCATTATCTTTGCTTTCCCGCAGCTTCGAAGCATGAAGCACGGGATTGATGACAATTTTTTGTATACTCGTTGGAACATACAAATCCCTGGTGTCATATCCGATAATTAGCGTTTGTAACATCGTGTCCATAAATGTTTCCCAATTATTTTTCCAAGCGATATGTCCTTGGGTTCCCAGAACAGAGATACTCCTTAATCCACGAAATAAACCCCTATACTGGTATCCACGCAATTTCAACTCTTTGTAGATATCTCGTGCAGTCATATCTTCATCAACATCACTAGTCTTTGGTAATAGATCTGTCGGAATCATTTCTTGTTCTGGATTCAATGTCTCATACACTGTACCTGTGACAACAACGCTATCTCCTTCCGTTATTTCAAACTTTCCATCTGTAATATTTGTTTATATTTGATAATACTTCATTTTTGTCATCGTACTACATGGACCGTAATTTGTATTCGCTAATTCATCGGACTCAGATTATTTTTTCGACTTCCTCGTAAAGAATTATATTATAAATGTTTAAACAATAATTTAAGGTACAATAAACCTGCAAATACTGCTATGGAAATTTCAAGGAAAATCCATTTAAATTAAAATATTACTGATCTCTTAAATACCTGTTTGTATTGCAATATATAGTTGCACAGTATCATTTTTCGACAAATAAATAGCACGGATAAATTTTACATCTTCGAAAACTATCGGTAGCATTGTGTGCATTTTTCCTTTCATCATGCCAATAGTTGTCCAAATGAGTCCCAAATAACTTGTCGCGGGTAGCAAATTTTTTCCATCAATTATACGATCGCTCATATATTCATAATCCTCATCGTCGAGTAAAATATTGACGTATCTTCCTCTCGATTTTATAAATTCTTGTTCGTCTTTCGATATAAACCAATCTTCAGAATGATCCCATCTGATATTATATATTATAATTCACGTACAGAAAAGTACAGAAAAGATAAAAAAAAGAAGAAACGATGTATACTAAGAAATAATAAAAAGCTTTTTACTGGCATTTGTTATACTTATATGGATACATTAGTTTTGATCTTTTACATATGTTTGTTGAACTTTCTACGAGACAGTTCACATTTTTGACTGTTCAATCGTACGAATAATGTCAAGTTCTACATCGAGTCTCAACCGAATGCGTGTATTCTTAATCTGTGAACTTTTGCGATAATAATTTTTTAATTCTGTTTCCATTATTTTTTAACATCTGAAGAGGGCTCAATCCGGTAGCCAAAACTTGTAATGTTTATTTTTCACTGTTATTATTTCTTAGTATACATCTTTTCTTCCTTTTCTTATCTTTTCTGTACTTTTAATTTATGCCTTTAATTATATGTCTTTTTAAAGGAATGCGCTGACTCTTACTTCGCCCTTCATTTGTTATTATTTATTTTATAATTAATAACACACACATTCTATATATTTGTACATACACACACACACGCACGCATGCACGCACACACACAGGGTGTTTGGAAATCAGTGATAAACCTTTCGCACATGGGCAGAATGGACTAAACTGAGAAGAAGAGTTTTCTATCATTTTATAATTGTCGCAATGGTTAATGAGTTATTAACTTAAGAAAACAGTCAAATTTGCCAGACAGACCATCGCCAGCAATTGTGACAATTGTAAAATGATTGATGACTTTTCTTCTTAGTTTAGTTCATTCTGTCCCTGTGCGAAAGACTTATCACAAATTTTCAAACACCCTGTGTATATGTGTGTATATGTACAAATATATAGAATGTGTGTTATTAATTATCAATTAATGAAATTACATTTTTTTGTGTTAAATGTAACTTTTAATGGCCCTGTAAGAGATCCTGAAAAAATTTCAACTGGATCTTGTTCTGGGTGAACAGACCTACAATTTCGGGAGAGTAACGACTCATTTGAACGCTTGGAATCTTGCTAAAATCGACTTTGAAATTTGGTTTTTCACATTAATGGATTCACATTAAGGTATATATCATAGAGCTAAATGAATTATTGTATCGTGTTCTGTGATCAAAAAAATATATAGTACCACATTTAAAATCCTGTTAAAGCCATTTTTGCATAAAATCAAACATATATTAAGGAAAATTACAACTTTGATTTAAGAATCGTTTACTAGCGATCTCTAAATCTTAATATTTTTTGATAAAAATTTGGGGATGTTCTATTGTCATGAAATGAAAGCTTTTAAACTGATGCGAGAGGTCAATTTAAAAAAAATGTTTTCTTTTTTCTTGTCAATTTAATATATTATATATATATTCACACTTTTTTTACATAAAAAACGAAAATAAACTAGGATTTTCAGGCAAATCAACAATAAATTATTTAACCTTCGAACGGGCAAGTGAGAGTAACTCCGCGGTTTTTCTTTGCGTTTTCTTAAAAAATTTATTCTGCAATTTCTTATATTAGTCTGGTACGTTTTTATATTTTTTTCTTATTCAGACGTCATCAAAATTACAATTACAATGATATCTACCTGATTGATGGAGAAATCATAGGAGTTCCTCGGCCAACTGGAAATTCTACTGGTGGGTATAAATTGGCAACTTGTGGTTGTAAACCACAGTTATAGAGCTTCCCAATTCCTTGTAGAATTATATTAATATTTTTCTCGGTTCGTCGTGTTAATACAAGGTTTGTAACATTTGGATATAAAGAGCCCGTTAAAACGTATTGTAAAACATCGTCCGGTGCGATTTCGATTACCACAGCGTTACTTGGAATTAGTTCCGTTGTTTGTGGAAAGAGGACTGTGTTTAATATACTTTGTGTGTGATAGTCCGCTGACGATAACTTTGATGCTGAAGTAAACCATTCGGTGCGAGGTATAGAAGTGCTGATCCACTTTGAACTTCGTTTTTTTGGACACGGTATTATTTTGTTCAGACTAAGCAAAAGCTGACTTTCCGCGGATGCGATATAAGAACTGTGAAACGGTATGTTGCAGTTGATCTTCTTCACGTAAATATTGTTGACCTGATTATTAAAAAATGTAACACATGCAGCTGCAGTAAATTGTGATATAAAATTAACTTTTCAATATTTTAAAAACTTAAGTATTTTTTTATCTACTAATTTATATGAAATCTATTGTACCTGCAATTTTTTCATAAATTCTTCTATAGATTTCTTTGGTCCACATACGACGCTGCTGTTCTCACTATTGTAGCATATTATTTCAATATTCGCCGGACATATATTTTTAAGATGCTCGTAATTGGTATTGACAACCGCCATCGAGCTATGAATTATTTTTTCTTCGGCACATGCCAAACCAATAAAGTATGCTGATAAAATAGTTTGTTCAATAGTGAGACACTTATCTGCGTATGCACAACCAAGTTCACCGGCAGAGTGACTAATCATGTAATCAGGAGTAATTCCTAAAGATGTTAGGAGATCTACTAAGCCAATCTACAAATGTGTACAAATAATTTTATAGGTAAACACTATATACTATAATACTCTTATTATTGTTATAATATATATATAATAAAATGTAATAAAACATTTGATTTTATTTTAGTTCTTATGGAAAATAACAACATTATAAAGCGTGTTCTATTTACAAATATGTATAATATTATTGATACTTATACAGAGGAAGGCCCCCCTATTATAAGATAGACGCCTAGAGATAGTGATGTCTCTGCTAAACTAATAAACGCTATCTATTGGTTTTAATATTTGTAATTGGTGATTGACATATACATTATTTTTGACTACACACGTACAACTTTGTCGGCTCTCAGTGGTTTTATATTCCTTTATAGATTTATTTTTATATTTCTTTAATTAAAAAAAAATGAATTTGAATTAACTTTCACCATTACAAAAAAAACTTATTTTCAGGTGTTAAGAGTTTTTCAGCATTATTATTGAATGTCGGTTAAGTATGATCATGAATATTTGGTATTACTTTGGACACTGAATATTGAGTGTCATTTGGGTGTTGATCATTAATGTTGGGTATCGGTTGGGTGTGACCATAAAATCCGATGAATAGTTTGATATATACACCATACTGTACGCCAAATTTGATGATCACACCCAACTGCGGTTTACCACTCAACACTTGTATACGACAATCAATAGACAAGTGTAAATCTTAAACGGTTTAAATCTTTGAGTGTTATTTTCAAAATTGAATATAAGAGTCACTTGAATGTTGATCTTTATGATTGAGAATTAATGCTGAAATATTGAATATGGATGTCGCAGATTCATTTATAAAAAAAATATATTTTAACTATACGTAAAATATCTTTTTGACAAATTCATCGATTGAGATATATCACAGTTATACATCCATTAATATTCAGTATTCTTGAATCATCGAAGCAGCAGTTTCCGTACGATTGCGGAGGTTCAGCACCATTGGATGGGCGATACACTTAGAAAAATAAGGAAATTAATTCCCAAAGGAGAGAAAAAGAGTTTTTTTTTTTATAGTTTTGTCATGTGTATTCTGGAATACGAGGGTGATGCCAGAAGTATCCGACCTGACGTACAAATGGCGATTGTTGTATAAAAAAAAATCACTGTAAGGGAAAGCACAGACTTTCTAAAGCTTAACTATGAAGTTTGAAGACGCTATATTGTTCAGTATTTGTTTGGCAGCCATCAATAGTGGACGATCTCGGTGAATTTGTAAAAAATTGATCATTGTTATGTGATACAATACTTTCATTTGAAAGGTCTTAGCCCAACCAATATCAAAGCCGAGCTGGATTCTACTCTGGAGGAGTCTGCTCCTTCGTTTACAACAGTAAAATATTGGGTGGCAGAGTTTAAACGAGGCCGTACGAGCTGCGAAGACGAACATCACAGTGGTCGACCAAGTGAGGTGGCCATTCCAGAAATGG